TTTGATTTCTTCGTCAAGCCAGTTGATTTTGCATCTATTACTCTTGGGGCTTTGCCCCTAGCCGGCTAGGCGTTGCCCAAGAGCTTTCATCTTGTGGAAGAGCCTTGGGAAGTTTGTATTACCCTTTGTTTTCTTAGTGGAAAGCTCAAGTGATCTTTGTAGTCGCTTTGAGAGAGGCAAGGAGGTGGAATAGACTCCGACCTTGGTGGTCACCTCAACAACGAGGATGTAGGAGCTCCTTTGTGGGGTTGCCGAACCTCGGGATAAATCCTTGTGTCCCATGTGCTTATTGTTGTGATTGCTAGAGATTACTTGTATTTGTTTGTCTCTTTCTCTCCCAAACTTCATTTTAGGGTTTGGACTCGATCTATGGTTTGGACGCATTACAGCGTCAAGGGAGTGACCCAACATCTTCATCAAACCACTAGGAAGTGGGGTTGTAAGATTATTTATCCGCAAAGTTAAATTTGGCACTACTTTTGTAGTTCACGTAGGCGTCGGGACTGTTGACGTTTGTGCCGGAACTTCTGACGACGTCGGGAGTTCCGACCCAAACGCCGGGACTTCCGACATTGACTGACAAATTTGAACTTAGCATTTGCAGTTAATTTTTAGATACGCCTATTCACCCCCTCTAGGCATTGTTAGATCCTTTCAGACCCATATAAGTAGGCTGTCACTATATCCATAAATTGCACAGATAGATGATTTTGCACTGCCAAGGATATTAAAAATCGGAAGGTGATTCCACTAATAACTGGAGAATATGTTTCATTGAAATCAATGTCGGGTCTCTGCGTAAACCCTTGTGCTACTAATCTTACTTTATATCTCACCACTTTATTATTTTCATTTCGTTTGCGGACGAAAACCCATTTGTATCCCACAGGAAAGATACTAGGTGGAGTTGATATTGCTGACATGAATACCTTCCTTTTGGTTAGCGAGTCTAACTCCGATTGAATTGCATTCTTCCATTGGGTCCAGTCCGGACGGTGGACGCGCGGAGGCAGCGGTTCCACGTGAATGAGGATGTTGGCTGGCCGGGGATGGTCACGAGCGTGCACACCACGATGTGCATCACGATGGACTCCACGACAAGCAAACTCTGGGACGCGAGGGCCCATGCGGTTGAAGGCGCTGTTGCGACCACAGCCTTCTCCAGCCAGTGGTGCGAGGCACTATTCATGGTGGTGAAGCGTGGATGGGGCTCTGGTGAAGACACCGGCCATGGAAAGGATGGCGAATAGGACGGCGACGAGCATAGACGGCCTCACGAAGGAGGCGACGAAGAGCGAAAACGAGTAAGTCTCGGGCCATACTGTGTTGTGGGGAAGGCACTCCGGCCTCCCCCTTCTTCTCCCTTGCCGATGTGCTCAGTGGCAAGCGTGCCGATAACGTATTGAAAGGAAAAGTGAAAGTGATTTATGTAATGGAAAGAATGATGTGATTGATGAGTAAATTGTACAGTGATTACATATTTATATCCCCTGAAGGGGTGAGTACATGACTCTTCATACAGAACCGGCCCTTTCGGGCTATCCCCGAAAGGTCCTAAACGATTGGTGCTAATCTTAATTAGCACATGTCTAATTACATTTAACACATGACTAATGATGTCATTAACTGCTAATTGATCACTAATGCCTATTTCTAACGGCCTTCATCATGGTTGGAATCGTCACTCGAAATCCATTATCACTGATCGCTAGTAACAGATTTATTTTGATCGCTAGCAACAGATTTATTGTGATGTTTTCAGCCATGAACCGTCGCCGATGATATTTTTTTGCCATCACCCAACGTGGCAACGTCCTCTGTGCTACCTTCGCGATTGCTATCCATCTTCGATTGTGTATATGTTAATCCAATTGGCCGTGGATTGGAGAGATTTAGTCTTATCATATTCTTTTTTTGCAAATTACACAGTATAAAGCAGACACTTACAATGCACAATTAAAACGCACGCACATAAACCCTATCCCTATGAGCATCTCCGAAGACTGGACCAATAAATCCTCAAGAAGTGTTATCGCATTCAAAGTCGTGGCCAACAGGTTTTCCACGAGTTTAGAGCAGTTTGGATCAATTTTGAACGAGTTTGCACTCGGACATGCAAAACAGGCATGGGCTGGTTTGTACAGGCGGTGGCGAATGCTGTTTTTTTTTGGTTTTGCGAATATATTCTAAATCAGTCCAAATTGCCTCAAATTTGATCCCTTTTGTTTGTATGTGCTTCTCGAGTCCAAATGCAACATCCTCTAAACTTTTTTGCCGTTAACATGTCCCCATTTTTAAAGTGAAGCACATGTGAGTTTTAAAAATACATGACAACAAGCAATGATGTCAAGCCTCAACAGTTTTTGTTCTAATAAAAACGATGCATGTATCGGTCATATTTGTTCTAGGGGTAATAATGTTTGGTTTGAAGGGATAGGTCGGACCTATCCCTATTTTTAGGGAATGATGGACCCATTTCTTGTTTGGACAGAGGGTTAGGGCTATCCCAAGTTTTTGTTTGGTCAAAGTGCTGGGTTTGGAGGGGTTGGGAAGCTAACACGCAGGGTCCGCATGTCATTATCTAACTCCTTCCTTGCCCTCTTCTCTCTCCTCCGTTTACGGCTACTGCTACTACTGCTCTGCTCGTGTATGGACACCACGCCCTCTGCTTGCCCACGCCGGTGCCAGCTCGCTCGCGTAGATGCCAGTTGCGTCCCCTATGCTTGCGCAGATGCCGGCTGCCCCCTCGGCGCCCATGAGGCCACCGGCGCCGCTCCGCCCACGCTCGCGAGGCCTCCGACGCCGCTCCCCCGCGCTGCTCCTCCGTGCTCGCGAGGCCGCCAATGCCGCTCCTACATGCCCTCGAGGCCGCCGACGTTGCTCCTCCATGAAGCCACCACGACTGCAGCCGCTCCTCCACTAGCCTTCACGCGGCCACCAAAAGTGGGTCGCCCCGGTTTCTTCGATTAAGAGGGATAGGGGAACCCGTATCTGGGTAGAATATTCCCTCCCTGGGATAACCCCAACCCAGTACTCTATGAATCAAACACTTCCAAAAATGGCTCCAACCCACTCCAACCTCCCAACCAAACACATGCTTAGAAAGTACTTCTTCAAATCCCTCTTGTTGATTGCCTTTGGAAGATGATCACCTCACAATGTCTCTAGCGTGGACTGCTAACTCCTGGACATTAGGACGGGCGCTCACGTCTGGACGCCAGTGCCAGTACCCCGTTTCCCGCACCTGCACCCCAGTATGCCCACGTGGGGGCCCGCACCACCCGGATCGCACGCATCGCACGCCCGATTGACAACACACGTAGACCGCTCGACGCTTGTGCCTCATATGCTTTCCACACGCTTGCAGGCGGGGACCGATCGTGCCTTGTATGATTTCCAACGCCCCAACAGCTACAGCAGGCGGCTACGCGGCAAGTGGTCCCAGTGCAACATGTGCAACGACATATCTACTTTTGCAACATCCCGATGAAACACTTGCAACATACGTCCAAAATAGTTGAAACACTTGCAACATACATCTGAAACACTTGCAAAACACCTGAAAACACTTGAAACCATTCCAAATGCATGCAACATCCACATCTAGTTTTGCAACATCCAGATAAAATACTTGCAACATACATATGGAACACACAAACATTTAAAACATACGCTTGCAACATGCATGTTATGCAACATCCATATATACTTCTTCAACATCCAGATGAAACACTTGCAACATACATCTGAAAATAGTTGAAACACTTGCAACAAACGTCTGAAACACTTGCAAAACACCTGAAAACACTTGAAAGCCATTGCAAATGCATGCAACATCCACATCTAGTTTTGCAACATCTAGATAAAACACTTGCAACGTACGTATGAAACACCTGAAGCACTTGAAGCATACGTTTGCAACATGCATGTTATGCAAGATCCAGATATACTTCTACAATATCTAGATGAAACACTTGAAACATACATATAAAATAACTAAAATATTTGAAACATATATTTGCAACATGCGTATATAGCCATTACAACATACGCAATATCTAGATGAAACACTTGAAAACAACTTCTGAAACAAACAAGGCGTCGCCGGTAGCCATGGCCTACCTGGTGGGGAACTGTGGTAGCCAACAAGTGGCACTCAGGTGCAGTGGAGAGGGAGGATGGCGGCAGGCAAGCGACTGGGCGCTGTGAAAAATGCCGCACCGGAGCCATCGCCGTGGACCACGCCGCGTCGGCTCGAAGAACTCGGCGGCGAGTGGTGAGTGGTGGTGGGGAGACAGGAAGGTAGGCGGCGGCGCTTTGGCATGGTGCCGCACGCCGTTGCGTTGCGGCTGCGGCACTGCGGGCGCGGAGAGTGGGTTCAAGAATGGATGCGGGCACAAGACGATTCGAGAGGAAGGTGAGAGCGGTGATTTTTTAATCTTGAGCAACGCAAGATGGATTCGTCTGTGCAAATGGCAATGCTGTCTGTTGGGCCATTCAAACGGACATCAAGGCTCACCAACACGCGCCGGCGGCGAAACGGACGCTCTACCCAAAGCCTTTCCACTCTGGCTTTGATCACCCTGTTTGGAGTTTGGACATTCCCGATTCAGAGGCCACTTACCAAAATTATTGCTATATTCGGTGGTATATCTCAATTGTTCGCGCAATAAGATGTTCTCTTTCTTTCTACTGCTCTACACTGATATTATTCACATAAATCTATAATTTCATTCCCTTAAATCTAGAATAATAATAATGTCCTGGGGCCAGCCATGGCCGGCGAACACCCTGCGCCTAGCGGCCGCGACGCCCTGAGGGCAACCGTCAGCGGCAGCAGAGGTCAGGCCAGACTGCCATTGCCTACTCGGATGTTTGGATCCAAACATCCCCATCCATAATTATAATATAAATTGTAAAATCAATTCGTGTTTGCCAGTTCGGCGGCGGCGGCAAACAAAACACACCACCGTCCGCCATTGGCGTCGTCGTCGTCGTCGATGGAGTTGGAGCGGATTCCAGCAGCGTCCGCCATGGACTGGAGCATCGACCTCGACAGGGGCCTCCGCTCCCGCCAACCAGGTAGAGTCGACCTCCCCAATCCCGCGTCTCCACCTCTTTGCTCTACCCCCTCGCTCACCTCCGCTATCGTCCGACCGCAGCAACGCGCGTCCGCGCCGTCGACGCCGCCGGCCCACGCCTCCGCCAGCTCTGCACTTGCGGCACCGCCCCCGCGCCCGTCGCCTCCGCGTACGGCGTCCTGCCCGGGGAGGCGCGCGTCTTCGCGGAGACCATGCTCCTCCGGCTCGCCACCGAATTCAGGACCGCCGACGGCGCCATGCGAGCCCGCATCATCAAGACCCTCCTCAACACTGCCACGGGGCCAGGGGCGCTAGCCGGGGCGCGCGTCTCGGAGCCCGACCAGCTACTCAGGAGGGTCAAGGTGGTCTACGACACTGGGAACAAACGGGACAGGGCGCTTGCACTGCGCGTCTTCGGGTGCTTCGCCGACATCGCCAAGGACAGCGTGCACGTCCGCTCTCTCATACTTTCCAGCTTGGGTGCCTCCAGTGCTTTGGAGGTCAGTACAGTACCTTTACCACTCCGTAGCACAACGAATGATATGTCCCAGACACACTTCCTACCTGATTAGATAAATTGTAATTGCCATTTAGTGTTTGCAAGCTGGAGGTTGTCCACTTTTGAAGATTAACAAACATGCTTGTCGATTGGCAGGTCAAGGCTGCAATTTTTGCGGCTGGCTGCATTTGTCATCTGTCAGAGGACTTCTCAAGGATCATTCTTGAGGTGTTCAGAAGATTGATATGTTCTCGGACATCAGAGCCACAAGTTATCACGGCAGCAATTAACGCTTTCTGGAAACTTGATTCTACTTTGGCTGTTATCCATAGAGTTCATGAGGTGTTTATGGATATACATTTGTCTCTTAAACACAAAATTTATCCATTTACTTCGATTTTGTCAACATCTGTGCTACCTGCAAATTTTACATATACATGATTGTTCGCCCACACATATTGAACTAAAGTTACGCTCATGACCAGGCTAACATACATGTCATTGATAAAAAAAATACCAATAACTGATACAGGGGATTTTGAAATGGAGAGAACAGGATAGTGTTACATTCTGCTTTCACATTCCTATAAAGGAGTTTTTCTTCATATTTTTTTGATGCCGTCGTTCTCACTGAACTTTAAGAAGAGATTTTTATTGTCAACCTCTAGGTTGGAAAACAGATGGTTCTAGGCACACTGGAAGATGTCTTCAAATCTGAAATGCTCTTTTCGCTCTCAAGGCTGTCATCCAAGTCGATCATTTTGTTTTCTGACCAGGTAGCGCAATGCTATCATCCCTGCAATTGTGTTTCCTATTATGTCATGTTAAGCATACAGTTTTATTTATTGAAAAAGATTTCAATTTAAGTGACATATGGTCCCAAATTTCCATTGGCAATTGCATTTCCCCTTTTTCAAACAATATTAGTTTTCCTATACGTAGGGCTGGTGAGTCCGAGTGGCTCCTTGAGCCAGCTCTCAAGCCGGCGACCCGGGTTCGATCCCCGGCGTTGGCACCGGGAGGCCCCTCCGTTGGCCTTCCTTGTGAATTTTCCCCCCTATACTTCATCCTTTGTCAGTTTACTGGAATACAGCTTCTTCTTTGTGCTTTCTGTAATGTGAAAGCACTGCTAGATAAAATTTAAATTATGCAACATTGGATCCATCATATACACAGATTCATAGTACTTGGAGGTTATCCCAAAAAACCTCCTTCCCTTCTTTGGCACTAGCATTCATATTGCACCCTCCGTTTTATATGGCTGCAAACTTCTGTATTAACTTAAAAAGCTATGCATTTACCTGATTCTCCGGATAAGACCCTCGGGGCTAGCAATGATCCACAAATATGACTATTCTCCACTGTTGATTGGTTTTGAACTAATTTTATTTCTTTGATCAACTTCCTATTGCAGGTGGATTTACTGTTACTGTTTATGGATCATGATTCCTCTTCTGTGAAGTCTGTGGCGTTAAAATGCATGCGTTTTATGTTTCGCAGAAATACCTGCCATTTTCCAGTTATTAGGACTGTTTTTGGCAGATTGTTGCCACTAATTGATGATGAGGATTTTCCACTTGACTGTAAGAGCGATGTGTTGAGGATTCTGCAGAAGGTGATGACTACTTGCTGTGCTTGATTTATACTCCATTTTCTCTTATCTGATTGTAAAAATACGTTTTCAGATGTTATGCTGTAAAGCGTCAAGTAATCATCATGCCAATGGTTCTGAGTTATCTAAGCTTCTTCTAGCTGCTGAAAGTTCTTTAGATTCTTCTTTGGAGATGCAAGGTACCGCTCTGGAAATTCTTGTGGAAATCTTTTGTATTCTCAAGGAAGTGAGGTCAGATAACATATCAGTTCTTAAGGATTCGTCATTTGCATACGCTGAGTGGCAAGGAATGATGAACAACATACCATTAACCGAAGATAATAGTATGAACGGACCTCTGTGTAAGATCATTGCAATGATTGTGAATCATATTATATCTCTGGTCAATGAAGTTGCTAGCAGAAATATCTGCATATCATCTGCAGTGGATAAGGCATACAAAACTCCTTTCAGACTTATGCTGAAGCTTGTTTCATGCTACCCTTCTGCTGCTTCTGTAGCTCTTGATATACTGAAAAGCCTTGTAAAAGAACTGTTTCTAATTAATGGAAGTGATTACTCTGAAGTTTCTGTTACTTCTGTTGAACCATTCCAGACAAGTGTTGCCCTTAAAGAATTGAGCACTTCAGATGACAATGTTCAACTGTTAGCTACAAGCATTGAAGCTTCATGCATTGGAACAGATATTGGCAATGGAAAACTGGATTTTCTCAAAATTGATTGCAAGAATAGAAAGTCCATAATGCATGACCTAATTCGTTGCACGCTCAAATTTGCAAATGCTTGTCATGAGGTGCTCTGTGAAACATCTGGTGCTAGATACAATCCTCATGATAGCATCAAGGGTCTAATCAAGTATGTGCATCAGGATGCTCCTCAGCACTGGAGCACATATGAATCCTTCCATTTGATAATGTGTGCTTGTGTTACCCAGAATACTTGTAAAATCAGTGGTGGTAATCAAGAATCTGGTGATTCAAAAGAGCATCGTAATACACTTTTCACTCCTTCTGTTTGGATAACTCAGGAATTATGTGCACTTCGAATGACCAAAATGCTTATAAAGAAGCAGAAATACTGGGAAGCTTATAGGTCTTCTATGTACTGTTGTCGTAAAGGTCTCTGGTTCACAGCTTCTTTTGTCTTCAGAAAACTGGCAGATGCTTTTGAAGCAGGCTCTTTCAGTTTTTGGCTCAAATCGTTGCTACTTCTTGCTGCTGGCGAAATTGAGATGAAACTATTGTTTTTTCCCTCAGCAATTATAAAGTTAGTTGGTGAGCTAAAAATGGAGGGTGATTTTAGTGAGGATCTTTACTGTACTGAAACAGACGCTGATAGCACCCTCAGTAGATCATCAGAGTTGCATGGTTTCCGAGCAAAGATATCTGATATTTGTGGCAGAACATTATTAGCAAATAATGCTCTTGCATCCAGCGCCTCTTCAGATAATGACTTCTTATTCCAGAGGTGGTTCATCAGCCTTAGATCATCATTTCTTGAGGTCTTAACAAATGTTCTTGATATCCTTAATGCACACTCTTCTTATGAAGCAAGAGGAGACCATTTAACTTTGTCTGGAGAGTTTATCAAAGACCAAGTACTTGCTTTGGATCATTGCTCTCTAAGATTAAGTGACTTGGCAAAAAGTTATGATCTTCTTGCTGCATCCCATATGGACCTGGATCGACATAGCTCGAGTAGTATAGCCAGGCTTGCTTTGATGTGCTCACTTTTGGCATTTTGTACCGCGTATTCTGTTTATTTCTCAAAGGCATGTAACTACGTAGAGTCCTGCAAGCTTCCAAAGAGGTTTTCCCATGCTTCAATCCTACAAGATCTGCATGGAAGAGTAGATGGCTCTGACTGGCAGATTGTTTCCCAGTTGCGACAGTTCATGTCCACTTCTTTTGATGAACTTGACAGCTTACAGTCCAGCACACGTATCAGTGGTTCATGTAATCTGGAGAAGGGTTTGTATTCTCTTTGCCATTTTGCTGTGGCATCTTTGCTTGGTGTATGTGATAGTGCTGAAGCTGAAAAAATACAAAATGGAGAGGATTGTTTATCTGCTTTGCAAGGAGGGTTGCAAGTGTTGTCCAGCATCTTGCAGAAGTATTTGGAATTGCCTTTCGTGGTTCCCAAGTACTTTTTCAGAGTAAGGTCAGTATTTTGTTTCACTATGCTGGATGAATTATATACAAGATGCCATTTTTTATATTAGCATATGTTAAGTATTGTTTAGGGACGGAAAGAAAAGTTAGTGTTATTAGTATATTAAATTGTTACTTTTGCAACATGAGATGCTTTGTTATCTTGCCTGTTTATGTGATAAGCACTAAAAAAACTCGACCTGAAGGGGTTAAGACTGTCCCCACAACATTCCAAATAAGAAGAAGACCTTCTCACCAGTCCGAGAAAACCCCCGAACCCCCGCCCCACCCTTATATGGTGGCTTTCCGTCACCCAAGTGAGAATTGGGCCAGTGCCCCCCAGTGCTTTGGATATGGGATAGATGAGTGGATTTTTTTAACCTCAACCTGAAATTCGCTCACACGGGGAGTCGAACCCAGGACTTGAGGAGTGCCGCCGGGGTACTCTGATCAACTGGACTAGAGGCCCTTTGGCATGTGATAAGCACTACGCTAATGTTTGTGCAAATGGAGCTTCCAATCCAAACATCATATGACATTTTTCATTTTTGGCATGTATGCAGGCCTTGCCTTGGTGCCGAACTTTACATGTTTGATTCAAATCCTGTGAATGAAAAAGGAATGTCAATAGAGCCTGGTTTCCTATTGTCTCTAACCCTCTGCATGAAGTGGAAGCGCGTGTTAGAAAGAAGCACCATTCGCGCCGTGAAATTGTACTGCATTTTAGCCGCAAGCTTAGAGACCTGCCTGGAGGCAGCAGGAACGAGAAGCAAGCAGTTTGATCAGCGCAGGACAGCTGAAATGGTGGAACTGAACTCCAAGCTGCTGCAGTACATAAAGAATGATCTGAGGAAGGCCAGGAATGCGAAGAAGAATTCCCATTGTGGCATGGACATGGTGACTGCCTTTGCGTGCTTTGAACCAACAGATAGTGGGCAGGGGTTCTCAAGCTGTCTGCTGGATGTCTCCTTGTTCCCTGAAGGCTCATATCAGATAAAGTGGCAGGCGTGCTGTGTCGACGAGAATGGGTCCTATTTTAGCCTCCTGCCCCTGAACGATGGCTCCATGTTTTCTGTCCGGAAGTCCTGACTGAATGGCTGCTGCAGTGACCCGAATGGAAGATGGAACATGCTCTTCTTGCTCGCAGTGTCTGTTCTTGAGTTCATTTGTATGCCCGCAGAAGGCTTGTGTGGCTATGATCTGCCTATCTGGTCTGGGTTTGACATGTTCACTCTATTGCTTGTGTTGTGGCAGTAAATTACAGAGGCCTGGTGCTGAGGCTTGTAGGCAGCATGAACTCATGAATGAACAGACTTCGCTGCTGATCTTCACCTTGCTGCTATTCTGAACAGAATCAGCACTAGCGGATTGCTGGATGAACTGACACAGGTGTAGCTCCTGCTTTTTCTATTCTGAATCTGACTTTCTAAGGGCTTTAGTTGAGTTTGAACTTGTGTAGAAGCAGTACAAGTTCCAGTTCCCCTGTAACTTGTAGTCTAGAGAAAGATAGTATAGTGCTACTCCTACAAGGCTAGTACAAGCCTACAAGGCAATGGTTCTGGCTTCTGGCGGATCACATTCTTATGTTGCTTTATGATGTGATTTGTGCCTCTGGAGATGAAGTGGACCGAGTCTGTTCGAATGCCTTGCCTATTCGTCTCGTCCAGCCCGCCACCTGTCTTTGTTCAGCTAAAGATTGGGTATAGGCTTGGCGAAAAATTCAGTTTACGAGATTTCCACATGCTGTAAATAACATACCTCTGGATGGCTTTCGTGCTGACCAACCTGGTGGATCTCTGCCTACTGGAGGTAATGACAATTATATTGGTCCATGATCTTCCTGTTTCATTGTTTGATGGGTACAAGATCAAAATAAACTCAACAACAACAACAACATAGCTTTTTAGTCCCAAGCAAGTTGGGGTAGGCTAGAGTTAAAACCCACCAAGAGCCTCAAGTCACGGTTCAGGCACTTCAATAGCTGTTTTTTAAGTACTCCTATTCAAACATAGATCTCTAGGTATATCCCAAGCTTTTAAATATCTTTTTATTGTCTCTCCCCATGTCAATTTCGGTCTTCCTCTACCTCTCATATTATTAGCTTGGCTTAGGACTCCACAATATACTGGTGCCTCTGGAAGTCTCCTTTGGACATGGCCAAACCACATCAACCGATATTGGACAAGTTTTTTTCAATTGGTGCTACCTCTAGGCGATCACGTATATCATCGTTCTAAACTCGGTCCATTCTTGTGTGACCGCAAATCCATCACAACATACGTATTTCTGCAACACTCAGTTGTTGAACATGTCGAATCTTTGTAGGCCAACATTCTACATACAACATAGCCGGTCTAATCGTCGTTCTATAAAACTTGCCTTTTAGCTTTTATGTTACTCTCTTGTCACAGAGAATGCCAGAAGCTTGTCGCCACTTGATCCACCCTGTTTTGATTCTATGGCTAACGTCCGCATCAATATCTCCATCCCTCTGTAGCATCGATCCCAGATACCGAAAGGTATCCTTCTTAGGCACTACTTGACCTTCCAAACTCACATCTCCCTCCTCCTGTACAACTCCGTCAAAGTCGCATCTCATGTATTCGGTTTTAGTTCTGTTCAATCTAAAACCTTTAGACTCAAGGATCTGCCGCCATAACTCTAGTTTTCTATTTACTCCTGCCTGACTTTCGTCTACTAACACTACATCATCAGCGAACAACATACACCAAGTAATATCCCCTTGTATGTTCCTTGTAACCTCATCCATTACCAAGGCAAAGAGATACGGGCTTAAGGCTGACCCTTGATGAAGTCCAATTTTAATCGGGAAGTAATCTGTGTTTCCATCGTTTGTCCGAACACTAGTCACAACATTGTTGTACATGTCCTTGATGAGGGTCACGTACTTTGATGGGACTTTATGTTTGTCCAAAGACCACCACATAACATTTCTTGATACCTTGTCATAAGCCTTCTCCAAGTTAATGAAAACCAAGTGGAGATCCTTCTTCTGCTCTCTAAACCGCTCCATAACCTATCTTATTAAGAAGATTGCTTCTGTGGTTGACCTTCTGGGCATGAAACTAAATTGGTTTGTTGATATCTGCGTCGTTCCTCGCAGGAGCTGCTCGATGACTCTCTCCCATAACTTCATAGTGTGGCTCATCAACTTAATTTCCCGATAATTAGTACAACTTTGGATATCTCCCTTGTTCTTGTAGATTGGTATCAATATGCTTCTTCTCCACTCCTTAGGCATCTTGTTCGATCGAAAGATATTATTGAACATCTTGGTTAGCCATACTATAGCTATATCCCCGAGACATCTTCACATCTTGATTGGGATACCATCAGGGCTCATCGCTTTGCCCCCTTTCATCCTTTTCAAGGATTCTCTGACCTCCGATTCTTGAATCCTCCGCACAAAGCGCCTGTTAGTGTCATCAAACGAGTCGCCCAGCTGAACGGTGGTCTTCTCGTTCTCACCATTGAACAATTTATCAAAATACTCATGCCATCTATGTCTGATCTCATCCTCCACCAAGAGTTGCTCCCTCTCATCCTTTATGCACTTGACTTGGTTGAAGTTCCTTGTCTTCCTATCGCGAGTCCTAGCCATCCTATAAATGTCATTCTCTCCTTCCTTCGTACTCAAACGTCGGTAAAGGTCCTCATAGGTCTGCCCCTTTGCCTCACTCACCGCTCGTTTTGCAGTCTTCTTTGTCACCTTATACTTCTCTATGTTGTTTGCACACCTGTCATGATACAAGCGCTTATAGCACTCATTTTCCTTAATAGCCTTTTGCACATCTTCATTCCACCACCAAGTGTCTTTCGAGTTGCATCCGCTCCCTTTGGTCACTCCAAGCACCTCTGAAGCAACCTTCCGAACGCATGTTGCCATCTTCTTCCACATGCTATTTGCATCGCCTTCATCATTCCAAGGACCCTCTTCAATGACCTTTTCCTTAAAGACCTTTGATGCCTTCCCTTCTAATTTTCACCACTTCGTTCTCCCCTTCTAATTTCCACCACTTATTCCCACGAGCTTGCACCAGAAAGCGGAAGTCAGCCACCACCAGCTTGTGTTGAGCGACCACACATTCTCTAGATATGACCTTACAGTCTACGCATGTTCGTTTATCCCTCCTTCTTGTAAGGACAAAGTCGATTTAACTAGAGTACCGCTACTAAAGGTCACTAAATGGGGTTGTCTCTTACGGAAGAAAGTGTTAGCTATCATCAGATCAAAAGATATGGCGAAGTCTAAGACTTCCTCTCCCTCCTGGTCCCTACTACCATATCCGAAACCTCCATGAACCGCCTCGAAACCTGCACTTGATGTACCTACATGGCTATTAAGATCACCTCCTATAAAGAGCTTCTCGCTACTAGGAACAACTCTAACCAAGCGATCTAAGTCTCCCCAGAAAAGCCGCTTAGCACTCTTATCATGGCCTACTTGGGGGCCATACGCACTAATTACGTTTAAGACCACATCACTAATGACAAGTTTAACTAAGATGATCCTATCCACTTGCCTTCTCACCTCCACCACACCATCCTTGAGGCTCTTATCAATCAAAAGTCCTACTCCATTTTTATTTGAAGTTGTCCCTGTATACCAGAGCTTGAAGCCGGTATTGTCCACCTCCTTCGCCTTCCGCTCCTTCCATTTAGTCTCTTGGATGCATAAGATATTTACACGTCTTCTAACCGTTGTGTCCACTAACTCTCTTAACTTACCTGTAAGGGACCCTACATTCCAGCTACCTAAATAGATCCTAGTTGGCTCGACTAGCTTCCTTACCCTTCGCACCCGCCAATGTAGGGGTGAAGACCCTTACTCATTTTGCACCACACCCGGGCGCCGGTGTGGCGCGCTACTAAGGATGCGACGACCCGATCCTTGCTCACTTGACACCGTGTCCAGATCGCGACACGGCGCGTCACGGGGGTGACGACCCGGCCCTTGCTCATTTAACACCATACCCGGGTTCCGACATGGCGCGTCGCTAAGAGGGTTACGCCCCAACGGGATTCTTTTGGGTTTCATCTCCATTAAAGTGGCTAAGTTTTTACATTGGCTCGCCGCGCCTAACACAACCCTCCTCCTTTATCAGGGCTTGGGACCTGCTATGTTGGGACACCAAAGGCGCCCCACCATAGGCAGAGTTATCAAAACAAACTCAGAAGCACATAAATATTGTGAATGTGCATGTATTTTATCAGGATAGTGATCTTCAGATGGAAACTTGCCTGATCCTGTTTCTTATGCACAGATGTGTCACTAACAAACATTTTTAGCAACAAAGCCATCTATTCTTGGGCTACTGATGACATCTCCAAGAAAATGATTGCTATATGTATGCCTGCACAAAATACAGAAGCTCTCCGAAGATCTCTTATGGTATTAGCATAATAATTTGTATTTTTCCTGAAATTCCCCCATTAACTCCTTGATCTTTATGATAGCATCCTCTGATCACTGTTTGTATTGTCATCAGGATGCAGCAGAACAGTGTGTTGCGGTGGATTTTATAATGTTGGAAGCAGAAGCTACATTCATGTATGGTGGTGCTTCTGAAAATGCTAATTCTTTTGTAAACAGAATTTGTGATCTTGAAAACTGTGTGGTACGGAGATACAATCCTGGTAAGGAAGTCTCATGATATTAGTAACCATTTACTGGTTTTGTTGTTTATGTTACAATAATAAGATGATCTTTCATGATCAACCTACAAATCATAACATGGTCATGCTATTTAGTTTGTTTTCTATATCATTTTAGACCATGCTACCATGGAGTTACATTTTGATGAATGACTTAAACAACTATGACTGCCATATTAGGAGTTCCTTATCCTTACACTCAGGTTAACATTCAACACTTCTTGCATGTAAGGTAACCTAACACTATATATGTTTGCTATATATTTGGAACTGCTGAGACCCAAGTTCTGCATGGGATCTCTTTCTGTACAGTTGTACAGCCTGTAGACTGTAGTCCTTTCCCTATCTCCCTTTCTCTCTGTACAATTTATTTTATTTGAATTTATATACCAACAGTGGGGGCTTCCCCTGCTGTATTTATGGCTCAAAAAAAAGTTGGTTAGAAGAGCTTAAGGATGACAAGGAGGATACACTGCAAGCTGTATTTGTGTTCAGAGATCCCATTATTGATTCTGTTAAACACATATATTGCAACCTGTATGCATCAGCAAACCAGATAACTGATGGTTTTCCACCTTGCCAGGTGATATGAGTCATTTTATAACACCACTCACTATTTAATTCAAAAAGTTCAGTGACAGAACATATCTGAGTCTGGCGTTTCCCTTTCACTGCTCAATGTTCATTTTTGTGACTTGCAAGCATTGAGTTTGTTCTATATACCTATTTATTAGTGGAAGAATATGACTGATAAAAGGAACTTCTGCATATATTTTTGGTGATTTTATCATCATTTTTTTTCAACTTTTTATTTCATTCAGATAATGGCAATTACTTATCCATGTTTCCTATTCACAGTTCAGCCTCTTCAACAGCTATGCTAACGCAGAACACATTGACTGAACAGGCATGCAAGTGCCATGGTCACCCTATTGACCTTGTCACCCCAAATAAGGCAAAATAGCATACCCAGTGCAGAGACCTCCCGCTCTGTGCGGGGTCTGTGCAATGCGAGGAGACCGCAACTCGAACCTGGGATCTTCCGGTCACAGGCGGTAAGACTCTACCGCTTGCACCAGGCCCGCCCTTCCCAAATAAGGCAAAATGGACGTGTCCAATAACTAATCGACAGCTTGCAGCTTCTGATGTTACTGCTACTGCTGTGAGAATTGGAGAACAAACAGTATTCTCTGCCGATTTTTTTAAATAATATTTTTAATGAATAATTGCAAATCTAGTAGCTGTTATACAAAAAATGCAGATATAGCATCCTGTCGGCCACTGAACTGCTGATAGGGACCTTGTCGGCCACTGGATGGCCGATAGGTCCCATGTCGGCACCTTAGCAGCTAATACAGACCTGTCGGCTGCTGGGTGGCCAACATTCCCTATCGGCATTCGGCAGGCCGATAGGCCAGTCAACACTCCAGGGGCCGACAAACCTGTCGGCTACCCAACACCCAATTACACTATTTCATGCGAAAACTACGTCGTTTGTCCCTGAAAAGCGTACGAACCTGCAAAGGCAACATCGTTTGTCCGCTCAATTGTCCTTTGCCTCGATGAAGGTGTCGGAAGTTATTGGAGCGTTGCCTCCATTAAATGGGTGTAAAGCGACTAATACGGTTCCAGGCATCAGAAATCTAGGAGTACATTAGTTCACATCCATGCAACCATACAACTATACGACTAATACAGGTCAACCAGCACGACGCCCACGTTTGACGGTCTGTGCTCCTCGGTGACGAATTTGCGCCGTAGGGTAAGTGAGCTGGTCTAGAGGACGGCGCTGGCGTGCCGGCGGGGTCGACTCGGTAGGCTGAGTACCCTCCTGAGTGGGCTGAGTCGGCAGAGGTGCACTTGAAAGTTGTGAGGCCCCGGCCTCATCGGCGAACCAAGGAGGAGTGTCGTCGGTGTAAAAGGTTGCGAAGCTGCTAGTACCCGTCGTGTAGTCACTGCAAGAAGCACGTCCACCTACCAAAAAATTGTAAGGCCACATAGAGCATGTTACGTACATAATGCATGAAGAAATCGGAAGGTCATCGCAGAAGTACCTAGGACTCCAACCGTCGGGTGCGAAGAACGAGCATGTCCTCCAGATCCTACGACTGGAGGTGGCGCTGCAGGGTCACCCTGCTGGACGTGACCAACTACGTCCGTGGTGTGGCGGCACAATGCCCGGCGTACTCCCGCCAAGCAACGTTGCCTCAGTCGTCGAAGGGCGGCGACCAACTCTATCCTACCAACCGTTGGGGGGCTCTACTCAAACCGCTGGGCATACGAAAATAGCTCGTTGCCCACGTCGCTGCAGATATCTGTCTGCAAGCCAGGCATGTATTGTTGCATGAATTGTTGTGAATCATTGGTAAAGTAACTAAAGGACAAAGAAGTTTACAAATTTACTTACCAGCGCATGGAAAGCAGCTGGTGGCTCCATCGCGAACGTGTCGGTGATCTCGGCCTCGTGTTGGGCGGCCTCTGCCGGCACGGGGAAGCAACAGACGCGTGTGGCTCCTTGGAACCAACGCAAGTACTCTCGGTACATGGCCTCATCGAATGGCCCACCAAGGTCATGCACGTCGGTGGCAGCTTGTGTCCAGTCGTTCACCCAAGGCACCCTCCTATCCACCCACGACTGCTCGAACGCTAGACCTTGACCTTTCCTTGAATGCCTGCAATACAATTAATAATGAATAATAGTATGACGACATATACAGGAACGGTTAATGCAACAAGACTTACCCGTGGGACCCGTCAAGCTGAAGTCGGGGAAGGGGGAAGACCTGTGCACACCCAAACTGACGCGCCACCCGCTCTGGACAGTACGGCTCGACGAAGATGTCGAACACCAGTCTTTTCCTCGTGTACCACAGCTCCTGGTCACGGTAGCACAACTTCGACAAGCCACGCGGAGCACGGGACTGTATGTCAACTGCTGTGTACGGGGTCCACCGAACCCTGTCAGCTGTGAGTTGGTCCAACGCAGCGACGTACGCATTGTAGTGATCAATATCAATTATAGTGCCAGGGTTTCTCGATTAAATGGTTTCCAGAAGAGCTGGCAGGTGGTGATGAGTCCTTGTACGTACCGAACCTCTTTTCCAAGGCCAACTGTTTGGCTCTCCAAGCCATGTCATAAGAAATCTCATAACCAAATCTATTCTGAATAGCAAGCATTATCCGAAAAGGAGAAATGCCAGGTTTTTCAACTACCTCACCGTACATTTCGTTTGCAACGAAAGTCGCCGTCATGTTCCTATGCTTGTTCAGCGAAGATTGCAGCAAACAAGTGTGTGGTTCGACAATAGTGGCTATGAAGTTGCTCTCGGTACGTGGCATATGACCATGAACACGCCAAGTACAACCCGGGGTGACACACTTAATGTCCCACGTTGTGGGGTTAGAAATAACCACCATAAACTGCCTCTTTTCGGAAAAAGCCCATCGACGAACAGCGTGTTGCAGATGAACCTTGTCATGAAACATCTGCCCTTGTCCGAACTCAATCCTTGAGTACTCCCACGAAGAATGATGATCATCATCGTCCGTCATGGCATCAGGTGCGATGTGGACCCAATCCTCAGGGATGTCGACCTCGTCATCAAATCTCCTGCCAGCAAATTCATCCACGAAGGCGACGTGCTCCGCATCGTCAGCCTCCATTTGTTCGATGATTCTTTTGTCCTCCTGACCCAGGTCAGCTTCCATGGACGGACCATAATCTTTCGCCTGTCCACCCTCTGTCTTGTTCTCAACGGCTGGAGGATCGCAAACATAGGTCTGCTCAGCATTTGCCGACTCTAAGTTCTCCTCTGTTGCACCTGTGTTGACCCTGCATGGCACCATCTGGGAACTCAACAAGCATGATGTTGGCATAACGACGCTCCAATGCCTTGGACACTAGAAAATGCCACTTCTTCGTGTTACTGGCCTCGTACAGCTCCCACCTCCATCCATTCTCCCGCTTTTTAGGCACCAACATACTAATCCTAAAACGATGCTGGGAGGGCGGAACACCCAAGTATTCATGCAGCCAGGCTAAAACTTGTTTCCGGCTATAATCTAGCGGCGAATTCAGTTCTGTGTCAAAGACTTGGAACTCGCTAAGGTCTACCCTGTTGTCCCCAGATTTGATTTCACTGTTGCCATGGTAAATTCTGAAAGGGACTAAATCAGTCGACATTCCTGGTCGCATCGTGCAAAGTATCGTGCCAGTTAAATGAAGTACCATGAAAATTTTAGCCGTAAATCTAAGCTTAACAACAACTAACCCTAACCCTAACCCTAACCCTATCAAACAAAAAGTAATAAATAGTCTAAACCTAACCCTAGCCCTGAAAAATAAACTAAACTAACAAAATCAATCTAAACTAACCCTAACCCCTAACCATAATAAAATAAAGTAATCTAAACTAAACTAATAAAATAAACTAACCCTAAACAACCCTAATAAACTAACCTAATTTAACTAAATCTAACTACTAAACAAAACTAACTACACAAATCCTAACTACACTAACTACATTTAACAAAACTAACAAATCCTAAATAAACTAACTACATTTAACAAAACACACACACACACACACCTGCGACGAGGCCGGTGAGGTGCAGCACCAGCGGGGGGGGGGGGGCGTCAAGCCCACCGCTGGATCTAGCGGTCGCCGGCGAGGGCGGTCCGGCCGCGCGGCGGCAGGGCAGGCGATGGCGCAGCCGGGAGAGAGAGAGAGAGCGAGCGACGAGCGAGAGAGAGAGAGGGCGAGGGAAGAAGAGAGGCCGCGGTAGATATTTTGTGGCCTGTCGGCTCACGGTTGTCCGATAGGACCCTATAGGCTCTCCACAGGCTGACAGGCCTATCGGCATGATAAGGGTACACTGGCAAGTCATGTCTAGCCTGGTCGGGGGCCCAGTCAGCTACTGGCCTACCGATAGGGACCTGTCGGCCCGGCAGTTGCCGATAGGGGCCCTATCGGCTAGCCAGCAACCGACAGGATACTATATTTACAATTCTCACAATTCAGATGCTATATTTGCAATTATCCATTAAAAAATATTATTTAAAAAAAATCATTTTCTGCCTACTTTGGAAGGTTGTTCGAACTTGCGGTGAGTCTCTACTTCCATTTCTTTTGATGTAACTGAGCGCACTGAATTAGCCTCATTGAATGAAGGTACCCACGACTGCTTTATGTTTAGATACAAATATTTTGTAAATTAAATGACAACATGTGTTAACAGGTGTCATAATGGGGAGGTCTTATGTTGTGATTCCTGGTTCAAATGATGTCGAAGAACACCCAAAGTTTGTATTGCAAGTTTATGTACTC